TTTTTCAAACATTGTACTTTTGGATATTTCATGTTTAGTTTGATATACTGAAAATAAGAATGTGTCTTTGATAAATTTCTTCAGGTGTCTAGGTCTGATAATCACAAAATTGAAAGTTCTCACCAGTATTGATTTTTCACAGTGGCTTATCGTTAAATGTTGATGTGGCAGTACAAATTTTAATAAAAACAAAAGAATATATAGACCACTGCTCTTCTATTGCTTATAGCTATATTTTTATAACCTTTTACTTTAGAAGATATTTGTGGATGAGACCCTCACTAAAATAGAAAATTAATCCTAGTTAAAATTAGTCCTAGTTTAATTAATACAAGAGTAAACAATCGTACGTCATTCGTCCAAAATGTGTTTACCGGACTCGTATGGTAATACTTACTTACTTACTTTTCGTCCAGTAAACACATATTTTCAGGACTAGTAACGTAATAAGCTATAATGTGCTTAATCTGTCATGTCTGATAGACAAGCGAAGAATTTCACAAAAGAGGTTCATTGTTGTTGCCAGCTGTCTTCTTTCTTGATACAGCACTTCACTTGTATTTTGGCTTTTGAATCATCTAATGGTGGGATTTTAGGATAAACTTAACCCTTGTTTTGAATAACATGTAACATGCACTTTCTTTGGTCACTCGGGATTTTCTAGGAATTCATTGCCGCGCGCCATCTGCCTGGCGTGGACCAGACATCACTTCGGTAACCATTTTTTGGGGGTTCAGGGGGACCCAAAATGGATATATCCACTCAAAACACAAACTCGAAAATTTTGACGAAAACAAAACTTTCACCATTGTATAGGGGGAGAATGTAGAAATTAAAGACGCCATCTTTAAATTTTGGCATTGTTGACTTTTCTACGACCCAAACGACCCTTGGTACATGTATGTTAAGTTGTAGGTTTGATCCGTTCTTTTTTGTGTATATTGATCAAACTTGGAAAATTTATTTATTTTACACTAAGTTAGAGTTAGGAACAAGTAATACAATCTTGCCTAAAATAGGAGGAACAATAAAGTGCACACCAGCTTTCGTGAAATCGACATGAAACCCACATGAAAAGCTTAACCTACAATCCTACAATAGGATGAGAAGTATATTTGACGATGCATGGTGATTGGATTTCCACCTATATAGTCAAAGTGGCAGTGTGCAGACGACACTTGACAACGTCGTCGGTCACCCTGGTGTCAGTCCAGACGGCATGGCGTCGCGCCCCGCGCCCCTTCTCTTCTCGCCCGTTATTTTGGGGAGGTCAAGCGTTGGCTGGTCGCCCACCACTAAACATATTGAAAGCCGTGTTTTCCTGAGAAAAATTGCATCTCTTCCATTTCGACCGCTAAAAACAAGACTTGTGACGTTCGTGTCTTTTGAAGTTTTTAGGTTTTAATTTCCAACCCTCGATCATCCTAACCTTGTATTAGACAGGCTAATTTCAGTCCGAAGTCAATGTATCTGAAAAACAATATTAATTAGTGAGACAGCTGGAAACGTGCTTTGTACTGTTGATAGTAGTAGGATTTAAAGCATAGTTGTGTATAGTTAAACATATACTAGAAGTCGTCCTTTTTTTAAATTAATTTTTGAGCTTATTTTTAAACCTATTTTAATCTATAAAGGGGTTATGCACATCTACAGGAAAATATCTTTCTACTGTGATGTACACGAGCTGAGAAAAAGGCATATTTTTAAGAAATATGCTTGCCTATTAATATATAATAACAAATTACAGTACTACAGTTTCATCTGTATTTTTATGTTCTACCTTTGCATTCAAGAGCGCCAATTTTTAGCCCGAAATAGTTTTACACATTTATTTTACTTGGCACAGACGGGATGTCGTATTATCACTTTCATAAATCATTGACGATTAGCGGGATTTGAACCCGGGACCTGGTGGACCGAAGCACCGCGCAACCCTTCTCCTATGGCTTCTCTAGGTTGCTTTCGGACACCATCATAATTAACATTAACATCGAATAAGAAAATTGATTAATCTTTTTCAACACATTAGGAAATGTTTCTAAATAGATTATTATAAAAAAAAGCATTAGTTCCTTACGGAATGTTCAGGTGTGATCAGTAAGGAGATCACAATCTAGTGGTTAAAAGTTTTCTTAAGGAATATATTTAATCGTAGTAATACTGAAGGAGCCATATTCTCTGAAGACAAAACCCCTTATTCGCCCCCTCTGATGAGAAACTAAGTCGCCAGACTCCACAGTTTTAACGTCGTATTTACGTTTTCGGAGCGCGAGGAGAAGAGCCGGTATGTTGGTGAGTGGCCTTAATTAGAATGCGTGGAATGCAAGGCGACCCTGGGCTGATACCTTGGAATCCCTACCTCCATCACCAAATACCATGGAAGTACTGCCGTGGAGTATGTCTGTTATTTTGGCGGGAGAAAATGACAACCGAGTGGCAGTTGAGTGACGTTTTTGGCAGGAATGTAGAACGTTGCATAGCAAAGTGTATGTTTACCCATCGTAGGAAGGAGGCCATGCACTCGCCCTGACAACAGGAAATTTAAAAAAAGATCAATAAGCGTGATAAGGTTTAGAGTTCAATAATTTTGGAGCTCCAACCCTTATCTTGAACTTCATCTAAACCTTACACCTTATACTCTAAAGTCTAAACCTTATTATTAGTCTGTGTAAATAAACTATGTTTCATATGTCAAAGCCAAATGTCGAGTGCCATTTAAATCCGCCGTAAAATCCCCAGAATCGTACTTTTCGGAAATCGGTTTGTTTGAAGGTGGTATTTAAATGATTTGGGCATTTTCAGGAAAGAAATCTCGCGGTATTATGACGTTTTTGGGAATGATCACGATGCTGCCGTTTATTGTGAAGATGATCACGACTTTCCGGCAATTATGGCGTAAACATGTTTAAAAGAAATTAAAGAGATACACTTACTGTGGGCGCCCTAAATACACATTGTAACGGGATGAATGAAACAGCAAAGTTAAACATTATGTGTAAGGACAGGTGTATTTGTGATTCTGAATAGAACAATAATCGCGATTATTCCCTTTGTATCTACCATGTAGTTTGTTTCCGTTGGGTTTACTCTTTCTATTTACTTAGGTGGTTCATTCAAGGGTAATTTTTCTCAATTCTCTTGCAATACTAACGCATTTGCTTGTTTTTTGGTACTGAGTTATTGTTGTTTAACTCTCATCTAAGTTTACAAATAGTCAATTTTAAATTTTCGTCTATAATATTAAACAAGAATGACATGGTTCTTGTTGATAACTGACGCACAAGCGCCCCTTGACCTGGTGTTGGTGCCACTGTCACAACCCGTACATTCCTCATCTCTCCCTGATGACAAACCTCGCAGAACTGACGTAAACTGATGAATGCTATGTGTATGAGATGTGCTGCAGCACTGGTGCCCCTTGACCTGGTGTTAGCGCTAGTGTCACAACCCGTACATTCCTCAGCTTTCTCTGATGACAAACCTCGCGGAACTGACGTGAACTGATGAATGCTGTGTATGAGATGCGCTGCAGCACTGGTGTCCCTTGACCTGGTGTTAGCGCCAGTGTCACAACCATCGAAGTATATAACCCGTACATTCCCCAGCTTTCTCTGATGACAAACCTCGCGGAACTGACGTAAACTGATGAATGCTATGTGTATGAGATGCGCTGCAGCACTGGTGCCCCTTGACCTGGTGTTAGCGCCAGTGTCACAACCCGTACATTCCTCAGCTTTCTCTGATGACAAACCTCGCGGAACTGACGTGAACTGATGAATGCTGTGTATGAGATGCGCTGCAGCACTGGTGTCCCTTGACCTGGTGTTAGCGCCAGTGTCACAACCATCGAAGTATATAACCCGTACATTCCCCAGCTTTCTCTGATGACAAACCTCGCGGAACTGACGTAAACTGATGAATGCTATGTGTATGAGATGCGCTGCAGCACTGGTGCCCCTTGACCTGGTGTTAGCGCCAGTGTCACAACCCGTACATTCCTCAGCTTTCTCTGATGACAAACCTCGCTGAACTGACGTAAACTGATGAATGCTATGTGTATGAGATGCGCTGCAGCACTGGTGTCCCTTGACCTGGTGTTAGCGCCAGTGTCACAACCCGTACATTCCTCAGCTTTAGCTTTCTCTGATGACAAACCTCGCAGAACTGACGTAAACTGATGAATGCCATGTGTATGAGATGTTCTGCAGCACTGGTGCCCATTGACCTGGTGAGCGCCAGTGTCACAACCCGTACATTCCTCAGCTTTCTCTGATGACAAACCTCGCGGAACTGACGTAAACTCATGAATGCTATGTGTATGAGATGTGCTGCAGCACTGGTGCCCCTTGACCTGGTGTTAGCGCCAGTGTCACAACCATCGAAGTATATAACCCGTACATTCCTCAGCTTTCTCTGATGACAAACCTCGCGGAACTGACGTAAACTCATGAATGCTATGTGTATGAGATGTGCTGCAGCACTGGTGCCCCTTGACCTGGTGTTAGCGCTAGTGTCACAACCCGTACATTCCTCAGATTTCTCTGATGACAAACCTCGCGGAACTGACGTAAACTCATGAATGCTATGTGTATGAGATGTGCTGCAGCACTAGCGCCCCTTGACCTGGTGTTAGCGCTAGTGTCACAACCCGTACATTCCTCAGATTTCTCTGATGACAAACCTCGCGGAACTTACGTTAACTAATCAATGCCATGTGTATGAGATGTTCTGCAGCACTGGTGCCCCTTGACCTGGTGAGCGCCAGTGTCACAACCCGTACATTCATCAGCTTTCTCTGATGACAAACCTCGCGGAACTGACGTTAACTAATCAATGCAATGTGTACCTCTTAGCGTAGCGCCAGCGTCAGTTAGAGTTAATTTCGGACATGTTTGGTCCGTACTTTTGTATAATATTACTACTGTACTGTATAACTATACCTACTACCACAGCTCCTATGTTATACCTCAGAGGTATTGTAACTCGTACGTGTGTTCCAGGTTTACCAAGCCGCAGTCGTTTGCCGATTGTATCGGTAACGAGCTGCCGCTGGGCTGGGAGGAGGCGTACGACCCTCACATCGGCGTCTACTACATCAACCATGTCAACCGTAAGTCTGCCATTTTATGTAGTTTATTTGTGATACGTAGATGCTTTCTTCTGTACTGCCCTTTTAATGAGTGTGTGGTTTAACTTTTCTAGGTGTTTGATTCAAATTAATTTGCAGCTTTCTTGTTGGAATAAATGCATTTTCTCAATTGTTATATGACATCCTTCTTGTAAGACATTTTTTAGAAATGTGTCAGGCTTTAGGAGGATTACGCGGGTTCTTGATTGGTTCTTCTATTTTTAATCTGCCAGTTGACCTCTCTATGCCACTCCCTTGAAGTGATTATTGTTGTTGATGAGACAAAGTTTCGTGGACAAAATGTTTATTTAATTTTCGTAAGAGTTTCTTAGGGAGGTTAACTTAGGAAATAGTGATATCAGATAAGTTCGGGGAGACCCGCGTGATCGTCCTAACATTTCCCCAGAATACTCTAACGTCTTCCAAAAGCAAGTAGTTTGTATTGCAAGTGAGAAATTAATTTATTTCATTATTTTTGAATGGTCAATGTTCTATCTTATTCGATTTGACAAAATCAACCAAGCACCTCTCTGTGTGTGTGTTGGATGTAATTCGTCCACTACCGAGAGCTGAGCTGGGCGCCAGTCACAGTTGCATCAGAGACTCTACATTCCAGAGTAATGTGTAGACCTGGACCTCCTCTCATGTCTCTTGGACTCTTGGTATCCGGATTCTCCTTTCCCTTCTCACGTCCTCGTACCTCGTACCAACTTGACTGTCAGCTCAGTATCTTTGTTCAATAATACAGGCTACGTTGCTAGGTCGTTGTCACTTGCACGATGTTACCAAATGCTGATCGAAAGTTATTTCACGCTAAGTATAAACGGTCGTGTTTCCAATAATTATGGGTTAGAGAAACGTAAATGCACTTATTTGACCAACTCTTTGTTATCAAGAAAATGTTAGGTCAGTTTTTTAATGCATTGAAACAAGAGTTTTATCATATTTTAACTAATGGAATGTCTATCCATTTTCAAACTCAACTAGTTTGGTTGTTATCTTTATAATAGTGCCATATTTATCGTTCACGTTGTATTGGAATTATTCCGCCCCTTCGGCGATTTCTCGCTACCCCTCTCGTTCAACACGATCAACACAGTCAGCACAATATAACCCGTGGCCTTGGACAACGACGCCGCCGGCTCGAGTTTCGGTACATTCCAGTATTTGCGGGAGTGATCTAGCTAAAATAACCATTATTGAGTAAGGACTTGTCAAGAACTTAAGTTAGAATTGAGTGACGGGCAACGTACTATTGGTATAGTTGACTCAAATTGAATACGCTAGCAAAAATGTGCAGTATTTAAGGTCGGCATCGAAATATTTGGAACATAAATCAGTATTTGTTTGATTATGTGGTAATTTGACCCTGTTCCTTAATCCTCGAAGTCCCGGAAACTGAGTGAATCAGAAAGCGGAACGTGACCAAGACTCTGGAATCGAACTCGTCGTTTTTACCAAGCCTGGGTCCATAATCAAAGTTGTTTTTTGTTTAGATTGGTAGATTGGCATCGAGGTTTATACGTTTTTGGACTGATGCACGGCAATACAGTACTTTTAAAGATACTAGCTCTCAGTTAAAGGTACTATGCCGCTAAGGCACTGATCAGAAAGAATGTGATCGACCAGGCACTGTTCCAAGGATACTGTACTGCTCCGAAAATGCCAGGCTAAGGCACTGCTGCGAAAGAACGTGTACGACCAGACAATGCCCTGAAATTTGGCTCTTCGAAATTTATTTTGGTGCAGTGCCTTTAGAGTTGAGTATTTTGAAGCTATGCCTGAATCTACTCTAGTGTAAACGGGCCGTTCTTGCGATGCAGTTGAATTTCCACGATCTCGGACTGGTGAAACGTAGCGCTATGTCGATGGGTTGTAACGTACTGTTTTGGTTCCTACAGTTTGTAGGAGATGTAGCTGGAGCCACGGCGTGACCAAGGTAAATGATTACGTCTGGCGAGGCTCGCATTCTTACACGACTACAGCCGGAGCCTCCCACCTCCAGCCTCAGGCCGATATTATAATCCGCGTCTTATAATTACCGTATCTGACATGTAAACTCATTATTCTCAGAGATCAAAAACTTATTACTCATTGGGGAACGTTTTTGATTTGATTTGACTACCTCCGATTTCGCCGAATGATTCGCAGCGGAGGACATGTCAGGAATGTCGTGATGATAGTTGGGTTGGTATTTCCGAACTCTTGTAAAAAAAATTAATATACGGCAGTGGGGACGGGAATCTATCGATATAAGTGAAAACAATCATGCAAAAAGTAATTGTCTGGGTACCGAGTGGTTACTGTGCTTGCCATCAAGTTTGAAGGTCGTTGGTTCGATTCCAGGTAAGATCGTGATATCCAATCAGCTGTCGACATCGTAATACATCGTGGATCGTTGGGTAGTCAAGTTATGCTAACAAAAGTTGAAGTAGGAAGAACGAAAAGAGAGTTCGTACCGTTCTAGAAAAAAGTAAAAGTTCCAATGGCATAAACACATAGGCCTATGTAAATGTTCGTCAACGAAATACAGTGTGGATAGAACAACATGGTCGGCAGTTCAACTTTGGAAACGGCCCAAACCCTTTAAAAGAGAGTCGTAGTGTGGAGTGTAGGGAGGAAGTGTGTTGTGTTGCGTAAGTAATGGAGGTGCAGTTGAGGTCCGGCCTTCAGCCTCGCTCGCCCCAAATACCAGACAAAGGTCACTGGAATGCCTGACTGCCCATCCGACACCCGAATATACCGCGGCCATCACTACTTAGTAGCTGGGATGGTATATTTACATACATTTCGTCCAGTGGTGCCACAAGATATAATACTCTCTGTTTACTATTTAATCTGTGGTAGTGAATGTGTAATGCTTTGGCAGTGACACTGTTCCATCCTTTAGTTGGGGTGGTTTTGTTATCAGTAGTTTCTATGTCGCGTTTAAATTGACAATTTTCATTTGCTAGCTTCAGTATTTACTTGAGTTAATTATGTTAATTGGGAGGATGGGGTTCTCCTATTTTGTCCCAACCATTTACAACGACCTCATCCCCTATCAGTTCAAAAGCCTTTTAGCCCAGTCACTTTAGGTAAGAACCTAGACATGAAAGATGTAAAGCTGATTTTTTGCATGATGATAGTATATAATAGGAAGGGTGTTTTCTGAAAGTTCCCCGAATTTCCCCCCCTTGCTTCCCCTTAAACCCCCCCTCCCCCAAAACACCAGGTTGAAAGTGTAGTGTTTTACTAAATCACCTATATATTTTGATGTAAACGAGCTATCAGCATAATTGTTTTTTCTTTGAACTCCCCGTTAAATTTACTTTAATAAAATAACCTTACATGTAGCATTATCTCTATTGGGTGGGTTTATATCTGTGATATAACTAAAAATATTATTTTTTAACATAAAATTGTAGATTAGGTCAAACCCTGGTTTATGCAGTAGGTCGTACGTCAATGTGTTTGAAACAAAACTTTTTACCTATTTTATGAGCTTTCCAAAAATGTATAACAATATATATTTTAATTTAAGTTGTTACCGAATGAAGCTATTTAAATCCATGCTTCACTTAGCGCATTATTCCAAAATGTTCAGTAAATATTACTAAATGATTAATTTTTATTTATTTATTGCTTACACACCCTGTGTGAACGTTTAACAAGCAAAATAAGAACACTGAATTACAAAAATATTAAGAAAATAAGTACTCACAAGGATTAAAAATGAAGTAATCGGTAGTTATAAGAAAAGGCAAATATATGCTCAACAGGTTTAATTAATTAGCCTACTTTTAAAAAACACTTAAGTAAGGCATAAACAATACAGTACATATCAACTTTCTTTTCCCTCCTCATCGTCAGTTCCTTCGTCAATAAAGGGTTAGAGTGAATTTATACAATCAATGCTTTATACAATCATTTATACAATCAATTTACTTGTACAAAGTTTAAAAAAAAAAACAATTTAGTATTTTGTCACCACTTAAAATTTGTAGATCACTTAGCTTATTACCAATAACTTTTAAATGGAGGGAAAATCTACCTGAGTGAATGTGATATTCTGAAAGAGAATACAATCTACTACAAATAACTACTATGAATTTTTTTTTTTAATACTTAATAAAGGCAGCCAAAAGCTGGCTACAAATAGAAACTTGAAAACAGAAACTTGAAAAAAGAAACTTTCACCACAAATATTTGATAAAATCACACTTTCATAATTATTTGCAAATCTACATGAATTAGGCTTTCCAATGACCCATTAATTAACAAAATCGGTCTAGTAGAAGTCCACATTTAGTTGTACAAAAATTAACGAAAATATCCCTTTCTCAGTATTTTATCATTACTATAAATTCAGAGGTTGCTTAGCCTTTTAGCAAATAACTTTTAAATGGTGAGGAAATCCACCAGAGTGGAAGGTGATATTCTGAAAGAGAATAAAATTTCCTACAAATTGGTGCCATGTACTTTTTGGAAATACTCAAAATAAGTAGCCAAAAGTCGCACACAAATAAAACGTGTTAAAACACAGTTTTCAATGTATTTCTTATGGAAAACATTTTTTTATATTTTTCACCATAAATCATAACAAAAACAAACTTTCATAATTATTTGCAAATTTACATGAATTAAGCTTTCCAACGACACAATAATTAATAAAATCGGTCCAGTAGAACTCTAGATTTAGTTGTACAAATATTTTTAAAACTGAATTATACAGGGTTAGTAAAAAGTGTGGAGACCCCCTGTTATTTTTTTAACGGCCCATACTAGAAAAACTAACCTGGGCACACCTTTATGGCATGTTATGAAGTACTTTTTGGGCATAACCACCACTTGATGTACATCCCCAAAATGGGGGATTTTGGGGGAAACTCAAACAACCCTTTAAAAACAACATTTTAAATGCTAAGCCCCATTTAGTAACCCCTCATTTTGAAGTTCCTGATCAAAGAACACTAACAACGCAAACTAGAGGTTTCTATCTC